TTCAGAGGTGTAAATTCATAGGTGAATTATAGCTATTCTCAGGATGGTGTCTTTAACCATAGAACAATTGCCTCAAAAATCGAATGTACCAGTTTGTATACTTCCCCATAGCTTGTAACAAACAAACTAAAACCTGTGGGTATGTATAAACATGGCCTATAAAGAGAAGGAAGGAATTACCATGGAACTGTTAGAGATTTTTCTGAGTTGTTAATCCTAGAGATAAAGAATCCAGATGATATTACATACTGGTTTAATGGTAATATCTCTCCTGAAACACTTTGTATCACTGTATTAAATCATATGTAACATTTGCATATTGAAATAATGTTGGAAAAAATGTTTATTTTAATGCAGGAGGAAAGATCAAGAGGGGTTAAAATTTGGTTAGGAAAAGGGAGAGTATCCTGCAAGTCATTCACTTCAGCACTGATATCCTCGTCATATTTAAGGTATAACTGAAGAATTTCAAGTCCTCATCTAAGGCTAGAAACATACTAACACCCCAAGTCTTAGCAAGTCCGAACTGGAACTGCCAACTGAGATCTACGTCAGATTCTGACCCAGATCATATCCATTCGCTTGAAAGGAAAATATGTGTCATATTTATAGAGCAGGCGGAATTCTGGGTCAGAATAAGCACAATTTGCAGGAGCAAAAAAAATCTTGTTAATGTGGCTCTCCTTGCCCTAGGCAGTAACCCTTCAAATGTCTTCTATGGAATTTCAGTGTTTCCCCGTGTTTCAGGGTTTCCTGCTTCAAATCCCAGCTGCTTTGGGGAAGACTGAGCAGAGCAGCCGTGCTGAGGCCCGGTCACTGGGATAACAGATACTGCTGCTCTTGGCCTTTCTTGAAGGAAGTGCATTTTTTTAAAGCCAAAAATATCATCTTAATGGTTTTATCCCTGAGAAAATAAATAAAATGAAGGTAAATAAAGAATCATGTCACACACTCGGTAAGGGCATAAAGGATTTAATAAACTTAAACCACAGTGAACATAGCAACGCAGTAGAAATGGAAGTCTGATGAGAATCGCAATAATAAGATGCCAGTAAATATAAAATCAAAGGGTCTATGAGAACCCCTAAATAAATTTATGTGCATTCTTTATTCTCTACTATCACGTATAGGTGTTAAAGATAAATCTCATGAATTATATTTATCTACTTTAAAAAAAATTCTATTGAATCATCTGTAGAAAGAGAGACAACAGCTAAAAAAATTAAGGGACTTGAGATTCTAAGATGTAAAATGTTAACATTATTTATGTTTTACCTTATCCAGGTATACTAGCTATCTGAGAGTCTATTTCTTTATGTTGAGTGTAAAGGTTATAAGCTCTACATTACATAATTATTGTAAAAATATACAATGCATGTAAAATGAAATTGTAATAAAAAATATACAAATATCATTAGAATAGAAAATTAAATCCAATCTATTTACATTATTTGTATTTAAGGTTAGTATATCAGACAAAATAAATCTCTCTGTGGAAGGGAATGTTTTCTATACCGGATAGAGAGTATTTGGCATTTTCATTTATATTAGATTATTTCCCTTTGAAAATGAGGTGAATTGTTAGTGACACTACATGTTCTATAAAACCCATGAGCACCTTGACCTTGATGTCAGTCAAACCTTGTGTTTCTCTTATATTAACTTGCTATGTTTAAACTGCTTACAGTATTAATACAATATTGAAAATGTTATTTTCAAAGTTGCATTTCTGTTTCAGTTGGCAAGTGATTGTCACAATTTTTTTACCCAAAGCATTCTCACAAAGAGTAAAGCATTAACTTAACTATCACTCAAAAATGGAGACCTACTCTATCCTACACCCACAAATATCTAAAAATCATCAAAACTGGGGGGAATAGGATATGTGTAAGCAGTATTAACTTTTCAGATTAGCTTGGTTTTGTGAAATGTGCTGTTAATTATATGAAACAGTGGTAATTAAATGCCTCAGACACATTAAACTATTATGAATAGAAAAATATATGCTAAAGTAACTTAGATTGTAAAAGTGAACAGGGACTGTGAAAATGAAATCTTAATTGAAAATCACCAAGTAAACATTCAAGAAAGAGAAGATAACAAGGTCGTTTTAAATAAAGAATAAACTTAGTTTTGATTCACTATAATTTTCTTATGGCAAGAGCAAATTAACAAACATGGAGTACATTGCTGAAAATACATTAACCTCTGGTTTATGCTAGAGTCATGCTTTTGTCTGCTGTTTTTCATAAATTTAATAAACTTCTGTTTCAAAAGAGAAATAAATTCACTGTAGAAAATTAGAAAATTCCCATGAGTAAAAACACAGAAATTAGAGCACCATAGTCATACTATTCAGAGACAATTGCTGTTTAGCATCCAGTTGTATATTATTCCAGATCTTTTTACATGCCTGCACCTGTGCACACACACACACATGCACACACACACACTCAATTTTTCCCTAATTGAGATTCTACTGTTTTGTAACCGAATCTTTCCAATTTCTGGCCCACATGTTTTCATGACAGTAAATTTTCATCTCATCTACTACCCAATTCATATTCAAACTTCTAAGTTATCTCAAAAATATCTGTATAGCTAGTTTGTGCAAATTAGAATCTAATCCAGAATTGCATTTCACAACTGTTTTTTTATGACTATTAAGTCTTCTTAACCAAGACTATTAGCTTTTTTCATGATATTCACTTATTAAAGGGAGCATTCAAGTTGCCTGATAGAATGTTCCCTTTCTTGATTTCTTGGTTGCATCCTTGTGGTTAATAGTTTGTTTTCAAGAGTAAATTCTGATGTATATGAAAAATGCGGCCTTTCAAATGTCCGACAAAACCTTTATGTGTGATCTTTAGGTAGAGAAGCTCGTTTTTTACTTCTTCAGGTTGTTTCTACCTCTGTCATTTCTGTAGAGTGGTAAGAAAAGAAAAAAGGTAAAGAAATATAAATCAACCAAGAAACTGCTATGGCAAAATCAAAAGTAGATGCTAACAATAAAACACCTAGGAATTACTGTCTATTGAGTTTTTGAATATTTTATTTGTTCTGCCATGACAAAAGGAAGTAGGAAAGCCATGAAAATTGATATTCACCAGAATTAGATTAAAAGAAGAGAGACACACTGGGCTTGTTTTGTTCTATTATTAGTGAATATTCTTAATATGAAAGCAAGGAGAGACAAATACCAAATAGGGCATTTCTTGTAATTATAGTAACATTGACATACATTTTTTATAAATACATACCACTTATTCTTTTGCAAAATAAGCAGAGTAAGTTTAGTTTAGTCCAAATCTGGAATTAACAAAATGTTGGGCACTATTCTCAATCCTACATAATTCCTTTGCAATAAAAAATTGGACTGAGGAAACAAAAATACAAACCTTTTTATAATAGTGGCTTTTCAGGGATATGTTAGGCACTAGAGCTAAAAATTGTGCCTCAAGTTAAAAGCTTAAAATGTTTTCTGAAATACCTATTTAACTGGCATGCTCAAAAATATGATCTTACACACTCCAGAACACATCACAATGATGAGTTTGTAACTATACTATAGTTTAATTTTCTCAGCATAGATTTTTATACCTTTAGAAATTTTATTTAGGAAAATCTATTTGAATTATAGAAACATTGCAGTATGCTATAGTACTTTTAGCTGTCAGAAACAATCTTTAGGATGAACTAGTCTTTAAGGTTTTCCTGCAGTTTTATATGACAATATAACAGCCGTAATCTTTGAAAGATATGGCTTTATGTATTGATGGTACACAGATTTTTTTTTTTTTATATAGAGCTCTTTAAAATTTTAAAGTTTTATTTGGGATCATTTGCTATCATTATTTCTGATCTGTCTTTAAGCAAAAGTTTATTTTGCAAGAGCAAGTAATATTTTTTCTAAAAGAGTAGAGTTGTAGAGAGTAGATTCTTCTACAAATAGAAATATAAGATATAAAATTTTTAGTATGGAAAGCATGGGCATTCAGGGAATTCTTTTCTACTTTTGATATCTATCATGGCCTCATGGTCAAATATATATTAGATAACACTTATGTGTTTTACTCCAGGCTATTTGCTATGGCTTAAGAAATTAATATATTTCAGGGCTCTGACCACAGAAAGCTCTTAGATACTACTGTACTCTAGAACAAGAAGTTAAAACCACAAATATTGCTTTTAAAACAAGGAAAAATTTTATCTTAAAAAGATAAATAAATTTTATAAATTTAATAAATAAATTTTATTATTTTTATAATAAAAATGATCAGTTTCAAAACTATATCTTAGTTAACAATGTTAAGAATAAAAATCTTACTCAGTCTTTTTCTAATCTCTTTTTGGTTTTAAATTAACACCTTAATTATGGAGGTGTGGGGTTCCATGAGTGATTTCAATAGACATTTGACAACATCTAGAGACATTGTCATGACTGGAGGACAGAGGTGCTACTGACATCTAGTGGATGGAGGCCAAGGATGCTGCTGAACATCCTAAAAAGCACAGACCAGTCCCCCACAACAAATAGCAAGCCCAAAATGCCAATAGTGCCACTGTTGAGAAAGCCTATTTTAGAGAAAATGTTGAAAATAATATTATTTAATACCACAATCTAATTAAAATGTATTTTCCATTCACTTGTAGATAAAAGTAACATTAAAACAATTTAAAATTGTTTTAAATTGTATCAAATGTATTAACATTTTGGCATGAGTTCTTTGGTGTTACCACGTTTTGCATTTTTTGATGAAATGGCATGTTGTGGCTGCTCACCTCCCAAGATTAGTTGTATGTGCATGGATTATTATTATTTTAAAAACCATAAGCAACTGCCTTTTTTACCATAAAAGTTTTGTTATAGCTCTAAAGCATTCTTATTTTTATTACTTCTAACGGACTAGATTTGTGGTATGTGGAGATGTACAACTGCTCCCCCCACCCCCCCGTCTTTCCTCTCCATAATGTTTTGTCTTTTCCACTCTGGTTGGCAGAACTCCTCTGATTGCAGCGGGAGTCATCGGCGGGCTCTTTATCCTGGTCATCATGGGCCTGACGTTTGCAGTTTATGTGAGAAGAAAGAGCATCAAGAAGAAAAGAGCCTTGAGGAGATTCCTGGAAACAGAGGTGACGTGTTGATTTCTTCTCCTCATGTGTTTAGGGATTTTCAGTAGAGTTGGAAGGTTTAGATGTTACTCAATTTTTAATCCAAGTGAAAATTTTGCTCTATTTTCTGCTGAGGGTTTCAATTTTATAGTATGTTATACAAAGCTGCTGAAAAATTAGAGTATATAGTAAAAGAAATCAAGGCATGTTCATGGCTTAAAGAGGAAAAGCATCAGAGGTCAAGGAAATCACCTTGTTGAGAAAAAGACAGATCTGTTTCTTTGATGGGAGGGGTCCCATTTTCAAGTTCTAGGATATCACGGTAGCAGAGCTACTGTTCTGCTCCCAGAAATTATCTAGATAGCGGATATCTCAGTAGCAGAACTGGAAAAATGCTAGGGATAGAATTTTTCTGGTTCAAAATAAAGCCAGATAGACAAGCAATTTATGCTTTAATTAGGGTCATTAAGTTGGTAGCCACTGATCTCATTACTGCAGCAGCGAAAGGCTGAGCTTACAGGATAAAGTTTCCTGTTGCAATCACACAGACCTTACCACACAATTTATGAGATGCATTTAATATTGTGCATGTTAGTTATTGTGAATATGTGAATTAGCATATATTATTATAATTTCTTTTCTATTGCTGCACTGAGTTCTCTAGCATGCAAGCTGATAGTTTTCCCTGTACTGGTCATGGGGGAAAACAAATACAGAAGAATACGCATTACCAGATTCTTCTTAACTCGAATACTACCGCTCTCCCCTGATACACACATCCCTGCCAGCCTGAGCAGCTCAGGGCCAAGCTGTTCGGAGACGTAGCCTTCCCTGGGTTTGTTTCCTTCTCATCATCAGTGTGACCACCTTGACTTTTCCTCTTCACAGTAACAGAAATGGGTGTGTTCATGCATTCATAAATTGTGCACACCGATAATGAATTAAATTCTAGCTCTTTTCCTCTGGAAATCATCATTACCTACAAGAGTAAGGAGCTGCTTTACAGTTACATATATGAGAATACTTTATAAGGATTGGAGTGACCTAGGAATGGGCTGTCCCATCAGGACACATGTGCAAACTTGCCAAAGGGAATTAATTACATACCGGGAAAAACGGTAGCGATTTCTAGTTGAGTTGGATGTTTACCCAAGATAAACTTGGTTTCCTGCGCGCATATGTGAATAAGCTTGAGCACAGTGCATGCGTCCTGCATATTTTCAGCTTAGTTAGGTGGGATGCTGGAGGCAGAAAGCATTTCCCTCATGTTTAGCTTGGGGCAGGCAGTGAGAGAATTCTGGAAGGCGAATGAACTACATTTGGAGAGCAATCAAAGGCTTGGAACAGCAGTGGACATTTAGGTGATCGAGTAAACAGAAGAGAAATTCTGTCTCCTAACAGTGTGCGGAAAAAACTCATTGTTATGAAGAGTTGTTTTGTTTTGTTAATATGGTGCTTTTTAAGAATGTTTTTTGAATTGATATTTCTTTACTAAATAAACTCATACTGATTGGTTTCATAAGTAAATTCTATTTTCATAGAAAGTTATCTTTTAGAACTAAATTAGGTAATTGGTGAATTCATTCCTATCTTTCTCTCAATAAAAGTAAATACCTATGATTTTTTACCATTTAAATAGAAGAGGAGTTTTTAAGAGGATCAGCTTAAATCTTTAATATTGAAGCAGAAAATTTCACTCGGGCGTGAACAATGTGTTAAAGCATATATATTAGAATGTATTAAACGTTGACACACTTTTCCAAAACCTTTGCTTCAGATTATCTTTCTTCTGTTACAAAAGAAAAGAAAAAATATATTTTTCAACATACACTTATTGAAATTCACTATAAGCTTGATGTTTTGATAGATGCTGTGATGTATTAATGAGAGCTGATCCTACCCCTTGAGAGTAACAGATTCAGAGCCTACATGTGGCAGGAATGTTCCAAAGTTTTCACCCTCTATTATATACCATTTCCTTCTTTAAATCTTTTAAAGTAATTATGGCTATCCCTGTTTCACAGATGTGAAGTGAGGGGGCAGGAGGGGTAAGTTGCTTTCTAAGGCAGTGAATGGTAGCCCTGGTATACAAACCTGTATTTGTATTTCTAAACCTATGAGTTTATTTAGTAATGAAGACTCTAGACTCAATTCTTTTCCCACCATACTGGCTTGCAAAATGAAATTATGCTTCTTTTATACTCAAATTCCTGGAAAAAAATGTGTTTTAAGACTATTTTAAACAATACCTAAGAAAATTGCAGGAGACTAAACATCTCAGAGTTGTGAAGCTTTCAAAGTATAAAATTATTGCATTGACTGTGCCAAAGCATGGATATAATATATATTTTAAGTAAAGTTAACCTAAAGTGCTGAAATCTAGTCTCCAATATTGGATATGATTTTATATGACTTTTGTACATGATTTTAAAAAGTAATTCATAAAAGTTCCTCATTATACACATAATGTGTATATCAGAATCTACCAAACAAATGCTACACAGCAGAGTTGAATTCAGATGAAGGAGATTCTCTTTAGGAGATCCGTTTTCAAAGTTAATAAAGAACTTTTGGGATTATTTCGGAGACTTCTTTTATGTGACTTGAATGCAGTTATATGCATTTTTACAATGCAAATTTGAAAATGCAATAGAAGTGCATTAGTTGTCAGACTGTTAGAAAATAACCTAAGTTTATTGAGAATTTTATCATCTTCTCCCCAAAATTCTTGCCATGGCTAAACTTCCCTGTACTGAAGACTCTGTTTAGCTAATTAAGTGGACCGTGGTGCTCACAGAAGCATGATAGTAATAACCAGGCTGGAGGGCCACGGTGCACATAGCCCTGTAGCCAGACATCTTGAAATATTGTGGTGCTTTTCAAGAAAATTTGAGTAGGAGTAGCCCTTAATTATTTCCTTATGCTGAGAGAAAATAAGCTGCTTGTCTGTGTTTAAAATTTAGCTCCTTTAACTAAAAAAAAGCAACTTCTATTTCACTTGCCTTTTCCTCAAGCATAAATAAACCTTTAAAATTTGAACATAGCTTATAGACTTTTTGGTATCGAGTCTCTCCATTGTCTACCTATTTTTTGTCACATGGGCAAGAAATTAGCACACATTCACAGCCCCTCACTTCCCTTCCTCACCCTCTCTGACTGAGTGACACCTAAACTGCCCTTTAACAGTATTAGCCCAATGTTACCCCCTCCTGCCACACCCTGCCCAAGTCAGGATCCGGTGTTCTCCACCCTTCGGACCCGGTCCACTTCCTGGGGCATTCTGCCTTCTCCTTGACTCTGTGTCCACACTGTTCTTCATGGTGGCAGTGACCTCTTTCATGTCAATTTGTTTTTATCATTTCAAAAACAATTTTAAAGTGTTCCTTCTTTAATGAACCCAACTCCTGGATATTGTTTTATTCCTTTGCATTTCCTAGCATTCACTTATGATCTAAAATCAATTCACAGAATTTTAGAGTTTTTGATCTAGAAGATATCTGGTCCCTGCTACTTAAAATGTATTCAAGGATTGTCATCGTACATAAGAATCTAATGGAGTTCTGTAAAATGCAAATTTCAGCCCCAACTGCAGACCTACTGAACCAGAATCTGCCTTTTCAACAAGAACTTCAAGTAATTCATATGTATATGAAAGTTTTAGAAGCACTGTCCAGCAGTATTGGCATTGTGCTAACTTTTTTTTCTCTTCTGCTGTGTTGATCTTGGCTTTTAAGTCCAAGAAGACAGCACTTCATGTTTTGTTATGTACCAAGTCTTCTTAAATGAGAAAGAAAACTTTACTAGGGGATGCAGACATAACTAAAATTTCCCAGTCTTAGCTGAGGATGCCAAAAAGGAAGGGGCTTGAAAAAGTAGAGTGAAGAGCCTCTAATTAGTCTCTAAGTTTTAATTAAAATGGGGGGGGGGAATAATCTCCTAGCCTAGTATGCCTCCAGGTAGACACACATTTTTTACACCCAGGCAAAGAGCATGAGAAGAGAAAGCATATGGTCTGAAGGAATGGTGACTGATCCATATTAAAAAAATACTGTTTTTCAAAACAAAGCGTGCTTCTGTGTTTTTGTATTTGTGAGAAGGGGAACCAGTAATGGATTAAGAAAGAGTGATTGTTGAATTGAAAGTTGAAAGTTGTAACCTGTGTGTGTTGTTTTTCAGTTGGTAGAACCCTTAACTCCCAGTGGCACAGCGCCCAATCAAGCTCAACTTCGTATTTTGAAAGAAACTGAACTCAAAAGAGTAAAAGTCCTTGGCTCAGGTGCTTTTGGGACAGTGTATAAAGTAAGTAAATATATATATGTGTGTGTGTGTATATACATATACATATATATATATACATATATGTATATGTATGTATTTTTTTTTTTTTTTTTAAGTTTTGTCCCAGACTTGTTTTAAATAATGGCCGGAGTTATTGCTCTAACCAACCTAATTTCTTTTTAATATCCAGAGAAGAGAACCTTTTTAGTGTGGATATGTTGATGCACAAATGAATTTATTAATTTTTATTAAGCAAGTTGGGAACTGATACAAATGAGAGAGAGCAGGAAACACTGGTACAAAGCCAAAGTATGGTTATTAGTCTCCATGCCCTTCCAAGCCCCTTTTGATACCATTTCCCCTTTGATACCATCTCCCAACTTTGTTCTCCCCAAAATACCCAGCTCCAGCCCGCTTTCCTTTCCCTTACACAGTGCTCTAGGAAATCCCAGGCAGGCAGGGTGTGTACCGAAGTCACTCGCTCTTCTTGTTTCCCCTTCTATCCAAACTTCTCCCCACTTAGTTAATCTCGTTTGAATCCATACAAATGTGCTCACACCTCAGTACCAGACAGGTCTGGTTTCTAGTCAGCTTCTTGCCTAACTGATAACATGTATGATTTAACAGAAAATTTCCAGTTTTAATGTCCTCACCATTATATGCAAACTAAGAAAAGTGACTATATTTGTGAAATTCAGGTCAGACAGAAGGAGAGGGTGACATCATGGGTTGTCAATAAGAGAAACATTTCTGGAAAGGGAAAGTTCAAATGATGGCATTTGCGTGTTTACTTATTTAGCTTAATTACAAAACCAACTCACAGTCCAAGCCGAAAATTAAAGGTGGTGGATTTTATTTTTAATGGTAAATAACAAGAACAGGAAACTCTGGTTGGTCAGCGCTAAATCTTTCTAAATGTTCATCCTTCCAATTCCCAAATTTACTTTGTCAGTCTTAAATATTTCTTAAAGCTACGTGCAAGCCTACATTTTCACAAATATATCTGTTAAAACAGATTAGACCTTAGGAATTTTGCATTTTAAAATGTTCAGTTTTTTTTCTATTTAAAACAAAGATTTTTAAAAAGAAACTATTAACAATTAATATAAGCCTTAATTTTCTCTACTGAATGTTCTAAAATTAATCCAATTTTAAAACAAAATTGTTTGTTCTAAGGTTAAAATGCTGAAGTTTCTTAATGTTAGTATGCGTGCTTTATTCAATTAAATTCAAAATTGCTATTATTATTATTATTATTATTATTTTCGTTTCCTTTACATTTTTATTGTATTTATCAGGGTGACATTAGTTAATAAAATTATTAACTGATCACGTAATTGAATAGAAACTACTCTAGGCTGACTTGATGCCTTCTAGATATCAATTATTTGTATTTTCAAAGAAACACAACTATTCTGTTTCTCTATTTTTATTGTGCTGGGAAAAAATGGGCTTCCATTTTATAGACAACTCAGACTTGAATTGTCCCAGCATATTATCACCCTTATATATTTTTAAACATGATACAATTTGGAAACTGAATATTATTTTAAATACTGTATACCATGTAACTCAAGACTACATTTGATGTTGTGACCTCAGCAAGGAAAAATATTACCCATTTAGACATTTATAAAAAAAGCTTTATTGATATATTCATTAAGAACAATTATTTGGCCCTGGCCTGTGTAGCTCAGTTGGCTGAGCATAGTCCCATGCACTGAGAGGTCACCGGTTCGATTCCAGGTCAGCGCACATGCCTGGGGTTGCGGGCTCCATCCCCAGTAGGGAGCGTGTAGGAGGCAGCCAATGGATGTTTCTCTCTTTCATCGACGTTTCTCTTTATCTGTCCATCTCCCTTCCTCTCTTGCTCAAATCAATAAAAACATACTTTTTTAAAAAGAATAATGATTTGTCTGTTATCCATGATGTTGTACCTATATTGAAATTACTTGCATTGAAAGTTTATTGAATGTTCCATAAGTATATTTGAATTATACCTGCAGTGTGTCTATAATTGACCCTATGTGTTAAATAATATATTAATTCTTTTAGTTTATACTGTCTAAACTATAAAGAATTATTCTTAACTATACAAGTGCAAATTGACTTAAGCAATTATTTGGTTAATTATTTCTCCTGGTTGGAGATATTCTGTGTTTAAACATAAAATATTTGAACCAATATTATGGGTATCAGTATAGTTAAAATTTCATCTGGTTGGGTCTAGAAATTAATGACTAAACTTCATTTAAAAAGCAGTACAAATTAGGTAACATTTAATTCATAGTGTTACTTCAAAAGTATGCCTTGGGAGTATTTTAATATTGATGCAATAGTTTTATAGCTTAATCTCCTCTGAAGTTACCTTTTTGAATAATGGTAAGTCTGTTCTCCACTCTGGGTACCATCAGTGAGAAAATGTAGCCTATCGGTCCCAGGCTTTTGGTTATTTTCCCCATTTAAGCATTAATAAATTTTGAAAATTTTTATACAACAGGGAACTTGTCATGTTATTTTGCCCTTGATGTATAGCTTTCCCTACTCCTTCTAAAAAGAATATAACCCTTATCTTCACCTTCTAAAGGTTAATGTCCATTTTTTCTTTATTATTTTGACTTTTTAATAATTCTTGTTTAGGTCTCTTACTTTATTGCAACTTTGGGTATCACAAATACATAGGTTTTCGCATAGAAGCACAAAGTGGAAAATTTTTTTAATCTTCTTTGTATGACTACAATCCACTAACCTTCAGAAAGACAGGAATTAGGGCTGTTCTATTCAGGAGTAAGAGATCGTTTTTTCCTTTTATTTTATTGTTAAAATTGACCTAAGAAGACTCCTTCAGTTTCAGAGCTAACAAATTAAAATTTGAAGTTTAAAAAAATATAACTTCATATTTGCTTCTGTGTTCATTTGGGACAATACACTTTTATTTATTTATTTTTAATTTTTTAAATTAATTTTTAAAGAGAGAGGAAGGGAGAGGGTGAAACATCCATGAGAGAATGAAACATCTGTCAGCTGCCTCCTGCATGCCCCCTGCTGGGGATTGAGCCCACAACCTGGGCATGTGCCCTGACCAGGAATCAAACTGGCAACCTTTTGATGCAGGGTACAATGCCCAACCAACTGAGCCACACTGGCCAAGGCGGGACAATATGCTTCAAAAAAATATTCTATATTCCATGTATCCCTCTAAGCCTTACCAAAATCATGGTCCTTATTCAAATGATTTAATTGTTTATGCAGAAATGCTGTTATTTAGTTTAATGTTGTATTTATACTCTACCTACTATATACTTTCCCAATGTACAGATGCTGTTCAGATATTATAATTATATTTCCATAGGAAGAGAGAACTGGCAATGGCCAAAACAAGTATTTTATATTACTTCAGAGAGAAAAATCCTTGATATACACACACTATTTAATAATATAGACAAATTAATATGTGCTCAATACTCCAAAGTACTTGCCTTTGAAAACTAATTCCTAAGTAATCCCCTTCAAAAATTAATTCTTAAGTCAATCTGAACTTCAGAAACATGAGAAAATGCTTTTCTATTTTTATTTTTTATTTTCGGAATTAATTAGATAATATTAACACTGCAAAGAACCTCCAATATTGCTTAGTTCAGTCTTCTAAATTACAGATGAGACAACTGAAGTTCAGAAGTTGGAACAACCTTCTCAAAGTCTTGGGAAGATATAATTCACATCAAATATTATTACTATATCTTATTTCAATATTTTATCACTATTCAAAACCTTTTTATGTACACAAGTTGAATTTTATAATAGCGTGAACACCTTGAAAGCAGAAAACATGTATGATTCATCTTCAAATAATAAAAGCAGACAACAAAATTGCTGAGTAACATGTAACATATAACAGGTGTTTGTTGATTAAATGAAAGAATATAGAACTTCTAAGTTATTGTTTAAGAAATTAATAGGTTGAGTGGTTAAATCAAATTTTGTTTCTGGCATAAATGTTGTATAAATCTTAATAAAGATTTAATGTGAATTTTTCCCCCCAAAGGGTATTTGGGTACCTGAAGGAGAAACAGTGAAGATTCCTGTGGCTATTAAGATTCTTAATGAAACCACTGGTCCCAAAGCCAATGTGGAATTCATGGATGTAAGTACAGACACAGCCAATCACATTTTTATCTATTATGAATAGACTACTTTTAGAATTTAAAAAAAGAGGCTCTACTACTTATGAAGTTTCTTTTCTGCAAAAGGTATAATCTTATTAAAATGAAAGGATTGTGCTGGGGCAACATAAGAGAGCAAGAGAGAACAAGGGACGAGAGGACTCTTTTGGGGGGATTTACCCTTCCAAGCTTTTGTTAGCTTACAATGGTTCCACCCTCCCAGCCAATGATCTTTTTCCCCAGGCTAGACTAACAGGAAAACACCTCCCTTACATCTCCCTGATTTACTGCACATGCGCCCATCTCCCCCTTTGTTTGATTCCTTCCCCCAGTGATCTGCAGGGAATGAACCGGTGGTTCCCTGAGGAGTGTGAAGCTATAGCTTCCTGGTGAAGCTGCCCAGATGACCGTGCTTACAATGTCTGGCCTCCCTTTTGCTCTCTTCCTATTATTAATATTAACTAGCTAATTATGATGATAACATCAACACTCTTCTAACAGACACTGAGTCTAGTAACTAGAAATCTTTCCTTCTGTAGGTCTCTAAAAGTTCTGACATTCTGCGGCTACCTGTCCTGGCTCATATATTAAAATGTAAAACTGAAGCTTTTTTCAGTAATATCATAATCAATTTGATCTTGCTATAAATTTGTGAAGAGACTTCTCAGAGAAAGTAAAAACTAGAAAGTGACTATGTGTAGGTTAATGTGTAAAACTGATAGAAAAATGATCTTGCCCAGCATAGACTGCATCGGAAGCTGAGATTCACAAGAATGCTAATGATCTCTGCTGGAAGCTTGGACAGTCATTTTTGTCATATTTCCATGGAAACAGACTGGCATAAAGGGGTTAAGAGGCTACAAAGTAATCACCTAAGAAAGAAGCTCTAAAACCCTCATCATGGTTTTGAATGATTATTTGAGCGCTCCTCACCCCATCCATTTCTTTTTTCCTGATCTGAGGTCTATCCCCATGGTAACATGAATGGGGGTGGAAGCTTTAAGTCGTAGTTTTCTGATGAATTTTAAATGAAGCTGTGATGGAGCCATGAAAGGAGTCATTTTCTTAGATGGTCGATGGGTGGTGACCAACAGACTCCAAGGAGTCTTTTTTTTTTTTTAGTTTTAAAATAGTTAAGGAAAATATTTGTGCCTATTGTACCTTGTAGATAAATGCTAAACGATGGACAGATTAATCGATTGCTACCAGCAGAGCATCAATAAGTATCCAGCAGGAACACTTCCTACTGTTTTCATGACTTATTTAAAAGCATTAGAAGGATAGCACAATGATTAAAACACAGTTGAAGTGACAAAATTAATGGTGAATTTCATATTTTAAATAGCCTGGTATAATTTTAAGGCAAACATATGCCTACGTTTCATACCTACATTGTACCTCAACTATTATTTGTGTAGATCATTATAAAAACTTGAACAACATAACTAATCACAATAAAAATGGTTGGTGTAAGGAAATTATTTGTCATTTGTACCTAAGGATTGGGTTAAAATTGCAAATACTCCCAGGGTTATTAAGTTAGAAGTCATACGATTGGCTTATGTCTTAGTCTAGGTTCTTCTAGAAGCAGAAGCTGAAGCTGAGACAAGGATAGGAGTGAAAGTAGTTTATTTGGGAGGTGAAGGACTATCAGTAGGAGAGTATGGAAAAGAGACAGGGGAGCCACTGCAGCCAGCTGCCATCGTGAGTGAAGGGACCTTTTGTCAATTAGAGAGACTCTGGCAGCCAGTATGGGACATAAACCTCTGGGTTGCCCTACTCAAGGATTAAGAGAGCTGATGTAAAGACTCCAGCTGCCAGTCATTGGTTGAGAGCTCCTGCGTGTCCTACCTGCCAAGGGTGGCAAAAGAGGCCTTAGTAGCAAGAGCCATTGGGCAAAGAAAGGCAAGTAGAAGTCAGCTAGTACAAAACTATATTAGAGAGTTCCAAGGATAATTTTCAAACTCAAATAATGCCTACTGCAGTCATGCCACCTGTCTCTTTTGCAAACAAATGCATGTGTGTATTTGTATTTCTGTGCATGTGTGCATGTGTTTTATATCATTTTATAGAAGAAAAATTAAGCTTCCAAAAACAATGGAAACTGCATACTCTTATTAAGCATTAGGCATCTCCCCCACCCCTCCCCAAGCTTTACACTTAGGATAGAATATTCTAGACTCAATAACCTCTACTACCAGCTTTATCAGATATAGCTGTGCTTTACTGGTTATTGTAATAAGCAATACAAATGCAGCAACTTAATACTGAAAATTCACTACATTTAACATTTCTATTGATATCCAAGGGCAAAGGAGAGGACTTTAATATTTTCTTAGAATTTTTTACTAAAGGCAAAAATAAATAAGAAGCAATTTGTGTTCTATTAAATGCTACACTAAAAGCAAGAGGAGGAGAATTTGGTCACAAGGCTGTAACTCAGCTCACCTGAATATGTCTAATGGATCCATAATGACAGTAATAGCGTCTGCTAGTGAATGGCCAGTACATTCTGCATTCCCAGAAAGGAAGATCACATTGAGCAACATTAAGAAAATTACTCTAGAGGTCCACCTTTATAAAAAGAATGCCTACATCTATACAGACTCCTCATTCTTATTTCAAATAGTACCGCTTCATTGGGAAAATGCTTTGATATATTTTGTCTTTTATTTCATCCATCAAATGGTATAGAACACATGCCTGAAAATTAGGCTATTGAACAGGATTCTTGGAATTGGGGCCCCTGGTCCATTTAAGTCAGACAGGTTCTGAAGTTTCTCTGTTTCCACCACTGTTGTTTTTGTGTTTTGTTTTTTTCCTGATATTTAAATCCACTATCATTAGACATAATTATATTTGCCTAGGAAGGACATATGTTTTTAATTATTTTAAATTAATGTCTTTTCTTAAAAATTAATATCGGGATAAAAGAAGTTCTGTAATTATCGTAAATTCTAGCGCCTTATCAATAATAGCTCCAGTTCACTGAGTCTTCTAGGCTTCAGATTCACTTTCCCCACCAAATCAACCACGGAGTTCACAGTAAGGTGCTACAAGGAAATGCATTTCAGATCACCCATCCGCATTGTGCAAATGGTGATTTTCTTATTAAAAGAGGGATGATGTCTTTCTCTTGCCCTATGCAATGGGACATTCTGTTTATCTTACACTACTTTCATGTGCTATTTATTGAAGAAATTTCCATGTGAATTTTGTTTATATGTTTCTGTTTTCTGTACTTGCCTTTATGACCATCAATGCCTTGACAACAGTTGTTTCAACTCTAATTGATGTCATATTAGTGGCAGGAAACAAATAGAATGTGTTGGCAGAATTTATATATTCTCTCAGATTATTGTTGATTTATCACAAAATGATTTGAGAAAATATTTTGTTCTATAACCCTATTTTCATGTTAATAGCTTCACGCAGTTAACAACTCTTAGCTAGATCCTGTCTCATAGTAATAGTGGATTTTTAAAAAGTCATATTATTTAATCATATCATATTTTAGACCTTATAGATTTTTCTCATTTACGTACATGAATATAATTCATCAATTTCAGAGGTAAAAATATGCAAAATTCTATTTTTAAGGCCCATTACTTAGATGTCATAGGATTCCACACTACTTGCATGACCCTGAAAGTTAGTTAGCCAATCCTTTTTCCTTAAAAAAAATAAATAAAGGTGAAGTAGTTAAGAAACATGGTGGATAGTTACTTTACTTATAAAAATAAAATATCTTTAAAAAGAGAATTTTTAAACTCCATTAGAAACAGAATTTAGGGTCTTTCAAAGCTCTACTAAAATGAAAAGAAAAATGTCCTAGTAACTAAAGTAAATTATTTCTTTTATAGTTTATGTCATTGTCCTTTGTACCCATCCTGTTAGTGTATAGAACTTGGCTAGAAATGACATCACATCTGAAATCACTATTTCAAACCCCCCCCTTCTCCAACGACATTGTCCAGCCCCTCCAGTTATTTTTCTATAGTACTTACATGAGGAAAATGTCATCCTCTTAGCTATCTCCCATTCATTGATCTCCCCTTTCTCACTGTCCCCCAGCTGCCTCCTAACCTCAGGCCCCTCCACGGACAACTTATCTCGTGGCCCATGGTTGTAATGTCATTCTTACAAAAATCTCCAACTGCCTCACTTTTCAATATTGAGCTGTCAGTAAGCATCCCAGAAATAACTGAAATTTCTCAGTGCCATGTTCTGTATCTCCTTTTAGTCTACACAGTTTCCCTAGATCATCTCACAAGATTATCAAATCGCATCTCTAGTCTATTTTATAAAGCTGACCTCATCTCTGCCCCTGATATGGCCATGTGGAAATCGCAGGGGCATCTCAAGTTTAACACATTCAGAATGTACCTCTTCATCTTCTTTTCTAAATCTCTCCTGCATTTGATCTCATGCATTTAAGTAATTTGTATATACATCCACACTGTTTGTCCCTATTAGAAATTTAGGATTTACCCTTGAATGGGACAACCTCCCAAACGTTTCGTTTCCACTTCCAATTCAAGAGCAAATACTTTAATTCTATGCCCAAAACACATTTGGAGAGCAGCTACTTCTTTTTATATCCCACTGCCACCACCATCAACGTCTTCAGTTTGAATTGCGAGAATAGCTTCCAATTTTCAATTCAAAGAGTTGAATTAAAACTTTAGTGACTCTATGAAGTAAAGTAAAATACTAGATCTTTGGCACCTCAGGCTCCTACTTACTTTCCCAGGCCTCTTTCTCTTTACTGACTTCCTTTCCACTCCTTTTCCAAGCGGAGCAAGCCAAGCAACGCCTTTGCCTGAGTTTCCTTCCCTAATTCAAGCTAATGGACTCCTAGTTATCCTTATGTTCTCAGCTCAAGTATACTTCCTCAAAGATCCCTTCCCTGACCACTTAATCTAAATTGTAACCTACTAACAGTGTTCAGAAAATTTCCTTAGTGCATCCCTCACGGTAG